GTGGTCTCCAGAAGCCAAGAAATAACCTCGGCCCTGCTTTCACCAGGATCAGGCTCCCCAGCTGTGCACACTACCTCAGAGGGAGAGCTGCAGAGATGAGAGACTTGCCCAAGGTCACAGAGCAGTAAATGGCTGGTTTAGGATTTGAACTCAGGTACAACTGACTCCTAAAGCCCAAACCAAGAGCTGTATGGAAGCCCTGGCATGCAGAATGCTGCCCCAGGGACCTTACATCACCGTCCCCATGTGTCCCATTGGGAGGCCGTGGCCATGCCAGAAATGCCAGGGGACCCTTAGCATTGGAAGCTAAGGACCCTTGGCCCACCCTTGTCTGATGGGGCCAGGCTGGCCCTGGTGCAACAGCTAACCTAGAACCTGGGGCCCAAGTTTAGTAGATGGGGCTCAGACATTGCCAACAGGCACATGGGCCCCCGAAGACCCCTCCTTTCCTTTCTCCTGAGATGCCTAAACTCCCACATGCTGCATATGTGGACATGGCCCCTTCCAGCTCCCCCAAAATGCACCCCTGCCTCGACCATCCTCTTTCAAGGGAGCTCAGGCTCCACGGGGCCCTTCCCAGCTTGGAGCAAACAGGATCAGCTCAGGGCGAAGCTTCTCAGTATTCCTGGCTCCTGGGGTTCCTCTGGCATAGGGTCATTGTCCCTCTTGCCCACAGACGAGCCTCAGATTGCTTCTCTGTTTCTGTCCACTCTGGCCCTGGAGGGGAGTGGACCAGGGATTTCCTAAGAGCTGACCGCTGTTGTGTCAGAGGCTTGCAGGTCTCTGTTACACAACAAGGTCCACAGCCTTGTAGTGGGGGGAAGATGGGTCACCCTCCCTAGCCCTTGCTCATCCTCAAGGGCTCAAATGTACTGGTCCCTGAGTTTGGGACTCCTGAGTCAGCCTCAAAGACAGGGTATGGACAACAACAGGTGCTGGGGAAGAAGAGGCTACTGGGCTTCTGAGTCCTGGCCCCCAAGGTGCCCCGCCACACATCCCATCCTGTGCCAGGCCCAGAAAGGGATGTCCTCTCTGGCTACTGGCTCCTGGTTCCTGAGCACCTAAGTCACCATGCCCTTGGCACTGGCCTACCCTGGCCACTCCATGTCACCCTCCAGACGTAAAGGCTTTTCCTTGAGTGACCATGCCCAGGGCACAGTGTGCCTAGGTTACAGTTAGTGCCCGGGCCAGGAGGAGTCTCCTGACTTCTTTCTATGGAGGCAACTTAGAGCCCTAGCTAGCTGCCTGAGCCAAGCAGGAGATGGCCCTTTGACACCCCACATGGTTTAGACACCAAGACCTCTGGGAGGGAGGGCTCCCGGCTATGGAGGCAAAATCAGCCAGGGCTTCTGGGCTCCCTTGGGCCTCTCTGCTACTGGAAGCTCTGCAAGCCAGTCCTACACCCTGCTTCTCTAGGACTCAGTTTCCCAGATTGGGGCTGCAAAACAGACAGCAGCCCAGCCATGTGAGGGAAGGGAAGGGGCAAGAAAACAGGAAGGGCCTCTTTCCAGTCACTTGGGTTGGGGGCCAGGCAGGTGGCCCCTGGTGGGTGGGGGTAGGGCCTTCCTGCCTGCAGCCACCCTCTGCTCTTTCTGGAAGCCTCAGGGCCAGATGGCCTCATTCCCTCCTCCACCCCACTCTCTCCCTCTTCCTGGATGTCATCTTGGGGAGCCTCCAGGCCAGTGTGCAGGCAGCTCTGGCTGCTGGGTGTGGAGTCCCTCCTCCTTATCCGAGGCCCAGGCCAGAGTCCCGTGCTGAGCTATCAGGCTGCCTCAGACATCCTGCTTATTTCTGGGGTGTCCACCAGGTTCTCTGGTCTCCTGCTTGTCCTTTTATCCCATCTTCCCCCTTCCTTTTCTTCTGACCTGCCCATTGGGTCCCTCTGCCAAGCCCTCCACCTCTGTCCTGCCTCCCTCTTATTCCTCACATGACTCACACTTTCCCTGGGCTCTCCCCATAAGTTTGGATCCCAGGCTGCCTGCCAGACCCCGCTGCTCTGGAGATTCACCCTCTTCAGCTCTGGACAGGCAAGAACCAGAAGCTGGGCCTTAAGTACCCCCACTCCAGGGAGCCCCCGTGTTCTGGCCAGGATGCCGTCAGGAGCTTAGCAGTCGGGACTTTAGCCTTGGCACCTCTTTGTGTGGGGATTGGGCTTCTCTCTGTGGAGCTGAGGAAACTGAGGCTGCAGAGATTCTACTTTGTCCGAGGAGAGAAGGGGCATGGCTGGGCTGGGAGGGCCCCTCCTCCTCCCAGGGCCCCACGCAGGTCTGAGCTGCAGTCCCTCAGAGGGCAGGAATCTGCTGACCACTTAATCTGGCTGTCAGACGGGGACCCGGAGGGTAGAGCTGCCCCCATCTGGGAGGGCAGTGCCTACCCTGAGCCGCACCACCCCGGCTCAGCTGGAGCATCACCAGGGCACAAGGCATGGGCAGCGGGTACCACACCCCCTGTACTCTCTGAGACCTGAGCCCCAAAGCCAGAGGGGCAGAGCGATGCCACAGCTGTCAAAAGCAGGGCGCCAACACTGGCACTTACCGGGCTGCACCTTCCCTGTCCCTCTCCTGCCCTGCAGAAGCAACTATGCCCCGGGCTCTCTGGGCAAGGGAGGGTGGGACCCCTCGCTGGCCGGGTCAGCTGTCAGAGCACAGAGTGCCCGATGCCCATCCAGGACACCTGTGCACGCTGCCCAGCAGCCCACAGCCTCCGCGCTGGGAACGGAGAGCCCAACAGGTGGCGGGGACCCCCAACCTGCCGCCTCTCGGGTCGCGCCGCTGAGGCGCCCGCCCACCTT